CTGTTCTTTATCAGGCATAGGAACCTCAGTGTGCAGACTACATAGATATAAACACATGTACATAGTGGCTGGGTTCAGACAACACAAAAAGCTACTGTGGGCCTTTTTTCCCCTCACCATTGTTGATCTGTCATGTTGACTGAACATGGTATATCAGCATGGTAAGTTTGGTCTTTTAGAAGCCAGTATAAGAAACAATGGTTCTATGGTTATTCCATACCACCATGAGTTGCTATGTTGTCCAAACCCAGGATCATGGCAACTATACATATTCTGGAAAGAGCAGCAACTACAGGACCCACTTCAGGCATCCAGCTTCTGTCTGTGGATCACTAAGAAAGAGACAGGCAACATAGACAAGATACAATGCACCGGGGGGCGGGAGGGGATTGAATTTCAGACACAGTAGCTGATTGGATATGAGCCAACAGTGGGAGGATGGAAACCATGATAAAATATAATTTTAATTTTGTATTTGTAAAGCAATGTATTTTTTGTATTTTTATATTTAATGGTAATTTATTATGTACTATTGTATTTCAATGTATTTTATCATGTTGTAAGCCGCCCCGAGGTTTCGGCAAGGGGCGGCATAGAAATGTTATAATAATAATAATAATAATAATAATAATAATAATAATAATAATAATAATAAAAATAGAAACCACTTAATTGTCAGGTAGATCTTGCAGAAGAACCATAGACCATGTAGAGTTGCTTGTCTTGTGTGAGCACAGCCAGTGTCTGTTACCAAACGTATCTGACATATGCATTTTCCACAAAGTCCTTTGGCCTCCTTGACTGGCTATCATTTTCTGGTTTTATCTTATCTCCATTGGCATGATAGAAACGTTTTCACCATCCCATAAGGATGACTCATCTCAAACTGGATACTTTCCAGTTGCTGTCTCCATTCCCCTGGGATGAGTCTTGAGAGTTTTTTAAACATAGAAATCTTATATGATGCCACCAAACTATTTATTCTTGTTACCAATGTTACAAGAATATTGAGATGCAAGTGTATGAAAGTGCTTCCTGCCTTTCTACCATAGCTTACATGCAGAATCTGTTATTTCCGCTTCCTGTAACATATTTAATAGCCTAGATCAGGGGTCCTCAAACTTTTTCACCAGGGGGCCAGTTGAAAGGTGCTGGTGCTGGGTGCAGGCCAGAAAGGTGGTGCCGGCAGGGTGTGCGGGCCAGCGCAGTGGCGGCAGGAGTGTGCATGCTGAGGCGGGGGCAGGCACATGCGGCAAGGGGAGATGAGGAGAGGCGGGGGCAGGCATGCGCTGCGATGCACCAGTGGGTGCGCGAGGCAGAAGCTTGCTCGCTTCGAGATCGTTTTCTCCGAACAAGTCCAAAATGATCTCTGCGCAAGCAAGCCACCACCTCCCTGTGCGTGGGGTGAGGCGGGTGGTGGCAGGCGCGGGCACGTCATGTCCAAAACCTCTGGTGGGCTGGATAAATGGGCATGGCGGGCTGGATTCAGCCCGCGGACTATAGTTTGAGGACCCATGGCCTAGATTGTCTCCTGAAGACACATTCTTTGTAAGAAGCAAGATGAAGATACTGTTGTTTGAGTTTGTTTGTTTGTTTGTTTAAGAAGTCTGTTCTCATTATCAAAATAGATCCCATCGACAAAATAGGATGCACTCCTGATTTATTTTATTTTATTTAAGAATAGCTTAACACTTTGATTCTAATCATGCTGACTTGGAAAGCACAGAGGGAGTTGTATCCTACTGAATTCTAACACATCCCTTCCTACCCTTATATGTACCAGGAAACAATGCTTTACATTTTGTTTTATTATTATAAGTGGTTTAAAACAAATGCATATTTTAAAATATCAGGAGGCAGAAGCTTCTGAATGCTGTTATTGTCTCACTATAAATTATTTGCTAGCCTTCAGTTTCTTTATTAGAAATACATTTTGACTGTTGGTGACAGAGAGAATGTATTACAGGATAATGGAGTGGTGCAAAAGAGTGTTGTTTCTCTACTGAAATACTGAGCTATATAGTAATGACCTCTGGGCAGAAAGTAAAATGTATTTAAGAAAAAGAACAGTAAATTTCTTATAGAGCATAGCAGTTCATTTTAGGCAAGCCTAGCATCAGCACCCCGTATGCTTGCATGCTTTTTGCAAAGCAAAAGTGACTTTAGGTGGGGATGGTTCCTTGTGTCTTTAACTGAGGGATGCATATATTTTTAAAGCATTGATTTTAATGCAATTTTTTCTGCATTTATGTGGTAGGCAGCAGAACCACCTCCAGATCCATTGCTCTGTTGGACCTCTGATCAGGTGGGAGATGCCAGTTTTTTTAGCACCCTTCTCATTGATTACAATGGGATCAATAGAGCTGGTATGGGGTCTTACTAGTTTTTGGGATGTGACACAGAAATGATGGGGCATAGGATGCACCTCCAACATGCTCTTCTTCTTTGTCATGATCAGTTGATACATTGCATTAATATTTAAAGTAACAAAGCAAATAACAGGCTTGCAGTTTTTTCTGCCTTCTGATGATGAAATGTATTTTTTCTGAGCTATCCACTGCTCCTGCATTCATTCCAAGGGCTATGTGGAAAAATTCAGCTGTGTTTGAATGACACCCATGAGCTATGGAAGATGCTAATTGTTAATGTTGAAACAGATAATGGGTATTTTGTATATCTTTGGTTTATCAAAGGAACAGAATTGTTTCTGAGATTGAGCTGGTCGCCACTGGAAGTCTATGACAATTGATGAATATGTACTACTACATATGTGTGCCCTTACTTTACACTTACCTTTGTTCTATAAGAGTAATTGAAGCTAGCCAAAGAGCAAAATTGTATTCATTTTGATATTTGTATACCCTTTCTACTTCCGGAGGGTGTTTGCTACTCTATTGCATATTAACATCTGAATGCTCTGATCAGCCATACCACTACTACCTTTGCAACTCATTTTGACATTCACTTATGATTTTCTACCCTCCAGAAATATTATAGTTTATGCGTAGAAATGATAGCAACGAAATGCCAACAACACATTGTATGACTTTTCCTGTACCTCTGGGTAAAAATAATATTATGGTGTTAAGAAAAAAGGCCATTCCAATTTCTGACACCTATCATCTTCCACACATTTGAACCACTGTCTTCAGGAGTGAAGGATCTAATTAACACACAAGCCCCTGAGTCACTGTGACAGCCTGCTTTCATGGTGACTTGTAAAGAATCAGAGTTCTACCCACTACCATGCCTTGAAATTCAAGGGTGGCTTTTTAATGAATAACTCAGTTACAGCATTTTCCAATACCATAACTCCTTTTTGTTGTTACTCTAATTGTATTACACACCTGGAAGAAAACATATTTAAAAGTCAATGATATATCCTTGTTCTCCATGTTTGTCAGAGTGTCCCTTGAATTCCTTAAGGTAGGGAATATATGGGATTTGTAAAGAATCAAGAATGTTACTCTTCTAGATTGGGTCCTAATGAAAGACTCTATTATAGAAACTGAAAAACCCTTAGGGCACTATATGCATTCTTTTCAGGGTGCCTTAAAATGTGAAGAGCAACATTTTCAGCCTAGAATACAACTCATACACCTGCTGATGTAACATGCATCTTGCTCATAACTAATTAGTCATGATGTGGGAGATATTTTTCATTGCAGTAATTAAAAATAAGAGGCTGAAAGGGTTAGGGTGGGTGTTGCAAGAAGGGGTTTTTTTGTGCACCTTTCTGTTTCAGTTCATTAGGAAATTCTGCAATAATGCCTGATGCTGCTATAATAATTTTTGAGGTACTGATTCAGGTGTTGAATGATATAAGGGAATGGCATTATTATAATCTGTTAGGAAGAACCCTATCACCTAATTTTTTAAAAAGTCCAACTAGCTTTCTTTGGGTTTACTGCTTTTTGTCTATTTTTATAACCTGCCACCATTAAGAAACATCGCTTTGCTACACCATGTATCATGAACAGCTCTGCAGTGGAATACAGGGCTTTGTGTGTGAGTGTTTGAGAGAGAGATGTAAAGGTATAGGTATGTCTGTGAGTATATAGCAAAAATTTGGTGAACATTAACAATGCCAGTAAAATTTTATTAACACAAGAATTAAGCGTTAAATGTAACCACTTGCTGAAAACACACTAGTGAATGTCAAAAAGCTCACTTAATATTAATGAATACTTGAAGTAATTTATCTCTGATTTTGACTGCCAAAAAAATCATATATACTCTCACAATTTTCTAGTTGTAACGTTTTTAGTAGTGAATAAGCCAAAACAAATTTACTGTTAACCTAAAATTTTATCATTTTGGTTTTCAGAAATCTATTTCTGAGTTTAAAATATAGTATATATGTGGTATGCAAGAAGGCTTGAAGACAAGTTAATTGAAGACAAGAGCACCAGACCACACCCATACCCACACACCAAGGCAAATGGACTTCAGACTCCTGATCATTCTGTACAGGACAGTGTAGTCAGTTCTGTTGTTTGTTCTTGAATTTATAACAGCTATGTCTCCTTTCATTGAGCAAGAATTCATTTTAGAAACTAATGAATTTGGGGGGAAAAGATTTCCCTAGCCATTTGAGAGAGTCCTACAATTTACTTTTGCTGTTGGCCTCCAGCCTTCTGTTGCTATTTTCCTCCCTCCACCTTTCTTTCTTTTCTTTTTAAAGCTGCATTACATTTTTTTATTGAGGACCAAGATGAACTGGTTCCTGCATCATTGGGCCTATTACACTTCCTAACAATTCCATTTACACCTTATTGTTTGTCTCATTGCTGGAAAATTCAGGTGATTCATCATGCCCAGGGAAGCACCTGATCCCATTTCCCCTGATATCACAATCACTGTGTGGCAGGAATACTGTAAGTGTTGGCTTTCAAACTACCTAACAGGCCAAGGTGATAACTCTATTGGGACTTACAGCTGCTCATGTATTGATGAGTTCCATTTTTGTAATGCGGTGTTTTCTTGCTTTCTTTCAACAGTTCTCTGAGTGAGGAAAAGGGTTTGGAGTTAATAAAAGAAGTTGCCGGCCTTCTGAAGCTCCAGATGACAGCCTTTGCTGATATCAAGTATGTGCACAGAGTTAATTAATTACTTAATTAATTAGACTTCTATGCCACCCAATAGCTGAAGCTCCCTGGGTAGTTTATAATGGTTTCAAGCAGGACCATAATACAATAAAAAAACACATAAATTTCCATAATACAAAGTTTAAAACAGTATCATATTTTACAACAATTTAGCAGCTAAAACAGCATTTGCACATAGCTGAACCCTATTAATCTTCCCTTAATTTCTTGTTTGTCTCAACACCAAAATCTATCATATGGTGAAAAAGATAAAAAGCAAATTACATTGACCCAGTTTTTATGAATTATTTTATAATACTGTAAATGGTGGAGAGAGATTATTTTTCTCACACTCACATTGTTTAGGAAAGGGTCATCAAATGAGGCTGATGGAGATTTCATTTCTAACTCTCATGGCTAATAGTTGCTGATATATTTGTCTTAGGCCTTTGAAGCCATTTAAACATCACATTTTGCTGTAGTAAATTCTGAAAGTAATTATTTTTATGAAGATGCACTGTCTTTTATATATTTGCCTATCAACCTCACTTGTATGATTAAGGAAGATGCTGCTTAGGTTTTCCTCCATGCTGTTGCCATCATATGTTAGAAGAGAGAATGTGTGTCTTTCCTAGAGGGCAGAAGAGAATAAGTTATATCTGATAATAGTTAAAGGTAAAGATTGGTATTTGTAAAATGTATAGAGTCAACAGCACTATCATTAACAAGAGGCATCAGGAGAATGCTTCTGAAATCACATGCACTTTCCCCTCTGTTCATTTTAAAGTGTGCAGAAACCTCATGTGCACACAGCACTTTCCATAAAGTCAGGAATTCAGTGCACATGTGCCAACTTAACCCCCTGTCCTTTGCAGCCATCACGTCTGAAAAGTGCTTTAGCTGAAGAAAATATGTTTAAAAAGAAGGTTAGAAAAACAAGCAAACCAGAAGCTGAGTTTCACCAGATGTGAGAAAAAGGGAATTGGGTGATGCTTCATGGACACCCAAGGAAAAAGAGCTGCCAAATGAAATTAAAGGCCAAGGACATACCATTTCCCCTGATCTATAACATACTAGTTTTGAAGGGAGTCAATAATGTTGCACTTAGTTTTAGCATGGCCAACAAAAGTTTATAATTGCTTATTCCTTTAAAAACACTTTCAATTTCTTTCATTTTTGGGTGTTTGACAGACTAATTTCATAGCCTTTTTCATGTTATTTATAATTGTGATAATCAACTTACATTTTGCTTGTTTTCTCACATACTGTATAAGACATGACTTGGGATCTTAAGCTATAATTCTGTTCTTTTTGTTAAGAATATTTTTTCCTTGAACTCTGGGGTTTGTTTCTGAGAAGACGTGCATAGTTTGCATAGTATTTAGACATTGCATAAACTCTTAAATTCAATAGTGCAAGATATTGTGATAGCCACTAGTGTGGATTGCCTTTAAACAGGACACAGTATTATCATGGAAAATACAGCTATTGATGTCTACTGGTCGTGATGGCTATTTAATACCTCTAGTATCAAAGACATTGTTATTGCGGCTTTTGCCAGGAACTGAGGCCCATGTGCAGCAGCCTTCATTTGCACTGCTGCATTTGATGTGAAAGAAGGTAGCTGGTTGCACAGCTTCATTCTGTGAGCATTTGTAGACTCACTCATGGCTTTTTCATGCTTTCTAAGATAGTCTGAGCATGAGAGAAAGTCCACAAATGTAAGAGGGATGGATTACCATGAGTTTGTTTCCAACTGTATTCTATGGTATATGTGGCATTTGTGCTATGAAATATGTATATATTTGTGAAATAAATAATCCCCAATATCAATACGTTGAAAATTGGCATCATAGCTGGTAGTCTGAGCTATTTCCTTGATCTTTTATGGAACTACTAGTTATTTTTAAACTGTTTTGTTAATTGTTCTGCAGCTGTGAAACAAATTCCGTTACTTTGTACTACATCATTAGGAACCATTAAAAATATTAACATGCTGGCATAATTATGCAAGCGGACATAAAATGATAAGTTTGATTTTATAATCAAGGTATGAATGTCTGTGGCCTCACGTGATTGATTGCTTGACAAGTATAATAAAGATGGAGGTGGATGACCATATGAGATCATATTCTGTTAGTGGTTTCCACCATAATGTGTGTTGTGACAATGTTTTCCTCTCCTAATTTTTTGGCACATTCTATTTTGTATCTTGAGATACAACAGTAATCTCAGTTGAGTCCTGTGTGGGAGTCAAGGACAACATGAAACCAAGATGTGTGGATATTTGATTTAAATTTTTTTTGCCCAATGAAAATGTGTAAATTGTAATCAAGTTACAAAATTTTAAGTTCTTTGCTGTGGTCTCTGTGCATCACACATATGGATGCTGCACCTGCACAGTGCCACATTTGGGAAGATTCCTCTAGCTAAGTCTAGAATTTTTGCTGCGAGCCTTGCCCCCCCCCCCCCCGTTATATAAACAGATGGGCTCCTACCATTTTCTCAATTTGCTTTCAACTGCCATTTGCAGTACCTCTAGCTTACAGTTACCTCAGCCTTTTCCTCATAAAGTTGGTAACTAGTAATCAATTTCTGCTTGGTTTGCTACATGAAAGCAACATACTTGAAGTTCAGATTTTGTCTGCCTGTATAACATTTTAGTATTGTTATGAACTTGCTTTAAATTTGTCTCCCCAAAGTTCCATTAGGACTCTAGGAAGTTGTCTGACACTGACTCAGATCCTTGGTCCCTCTAGGAAAGTGTTATTGACCTTGACTAGCAGCAGAATTCCTTAGTTTCTAGCAGGAATTTTTTCTACAGGCAGTAGTAGAAAAAAACGAACCTTCTGCATGCAAAAAGGTACTTTACTATTGAACTTTAGCCCCATTTACAGTACTTGATCTGCAAACAATTGAAGGCAAAAGGAAAAGGGGATGGCAGAGGTTGAGGTGGCTGGATGGGGTCACTGGAAAGGTAGGTGTGGGCTCAGGTGTACTCTGGGGGATGGTGAAAGACAGGGAAACCTGGAGGAATGTTGTTCATGGGGTCATGAAGAGTCAGGCACGACTTTGCAACTGAACAGACCAGTTGTTGTTAGTCACGAAGTCGTATCCAAGCCATCGTGACCCCATGGACAACATTCCTCCAGGCCTTCCTGTCCTCCACCATCCCCTGGAGTCCACCCAAGCTCACACCAACTGCTTCAGTGACTCCATCTAGCCACCTCATTCTCTGCCGTCCCCTTCTTCTTTTGCCATCTATTGTTCCCAGCATTAGACTCCTCTCCAGGGAGTCCTTCCTTCTC